TTGGTGTAACGTACACGTTCAGTGTACCATACTGACCCTCTATTGATCTAACCTGTACACGTACATGTACAGATAAAGAAAGGTGTACATATGTAGAGAAAGGAAAGTTTTAATATTTTAAAAATATTTCTAAATTGTACCTTGACTTCCAAACGTGATGTATACATGCTGCAACGGAGAGTAGCTAAAAGATAGCTACCATTCTAAAAATTAATATGTGAAACATCAAACATGAAATAATTACTAATAAGGTTACTTTTGGGTCAGGCGGTGAGTAGCTGATTACAGCAGTGCTCTTCTCAATCTCCTGTATATCAACAGGAACATTGCACTGTAGCAACAGCATATCCAATGGAACCTAAGGACAATGAATAGAGGAAGTAAATACATTTGTAGAAGCAGAAAAATAAAGAAAAAATAATTAAATCAATAATACATGTAATTGCATGGTATAGTGAAGAGCATAATTGTAATCATAAGATAAAAATAATACATAAACACATAATTATTGATAAATACATGCATGTACATGTATATGCATATGTATATGTACAATATTGTATTCAAATTACTTGTGTTTCAATGCTTAAGGTGTACCAAGCCTCATCTTTATTAAGAGTAAACTGGTCATTAACTGGTAGCAATGGTAAAGCAGAGACTCCACCACTAGGGCCCCCCTCTCCCCCTCCTTTCATTATGGACTGGTATTTCACATAAGCACTGGATACTTTATCCTCCAAAGACTTGACTTCATTCCTATAGCAATTAATTCATAAACCACAGCATGAGATAATGAATTATGGTCATGCTACAAATATGTGTCTCACTTCTTTGACTCTGTGTGTGTGTGTGTTGCGTCTGTCTGCACACACACACACACACACTCACACACACACACACACACACACACACACACACACACACACATGCATATCATTAATATTCATGCATGCACAGTTGCACACATGAACAATTCAATTACATTAAAGTACATTACATGTACATGTGCATATGCATGTGTGATGCGATTCCATTCATATCAGAAGCGCATGTATATACATGTACACATACATGTACATGTACACGTATATCATTATCATACTAATGATTGTTATCACTAGTATAAAGATAGTGCTTTTATGTACAATGTCAAGGCTGACCACACTCAATTTAATACGGCACAACTTCTTGTTAATACATGTAGCTCAATTAGATGCTATTAATGTAACACTGTATTGTAGTAATACGATAATTATAAGAATTTTCCAACCATTAATTCGTGTGGATCATGTACATGTACATGACTGATTATATGCTTCAACCCCTATGCTACATTCTTTTAATACTTTTCTTTATATTTTTAACACTCCTTTGCTTTAATTTCTCCTATGTACTGTACATGTATGTACATGTACATTGCAGATCTTGGTAATTTTCATTTTTTATATTCAACACGTCACATTTTTGACACCAGATTAAATTTTACCAAGTAGAGGCACACCTTAACACAAGTGTAAAAATACATGTATACATGTACATACGTAGTTT